GCCCCGTCCTGTCCCGTCCACTGCGCTGCACAGGCTGAGTGCCCAGGAGCCCGGCAGCGGTGGGCAGTGCCATCGCCTCTGTCTCCCGGCGCCCAAGCTGCCTCTCCAGGGACCCAGGGACCCCTGCGCCTCTCTCCCCACCAGCCCCGGGGTGGGGTGGGGAGCGCGCTGTGCCCAGGAACTTACACCTGGTGCCTGCAAGGGTGCCCGGGACCAGCCCCAAGGGACCTGCCAGCAGGGATGGGGCAGGGGACGTGCAGGGGGAACCCTTCCCGGTTTCTCTGGAACCTGCACTTGCTGATTTGCTGAGCGACACCGAGAAAGGCCTCTCGCTGCCCACAGCTCGTTTCTGTTCCAGAAAAACCACAGAGGAGCCCTAGCCAGTTTGGCTCAGTGGATAGAGCGTCAGCCTGGGGACTGAAGGGTCCCGGGTTCGATTCCTGGTCAAGGGCACATGCCCGGGTTGTGGGCTCGGTCCCTGGTGGGGGGCGTGCAGGAGGCAGCCGATCCATGATTCTCTCTCATCATTGATGTTTCTATCTCTCTCTCCTTCTCCCTTCCTCTTTGAAATCGATTTTAAAAAAAGAAAAGAAAAACAACAGGAGCCTGGAGAAGGAGAATGAATGGGCTGCCCAGTCAGACGCTCTTTATTTTATTTTATTTTATTTTATTTTTTTAAAATATATTGATTTTTTACAGAGAGGAAGGGAGAGGGATAGAGAGTTAGAAACATCGATGAGAGGGAAACATGGATCAGCTGCCTCCTGCACACCCCCTACTGGGGATGTGCCCGCAACCAAGGTACATGCCCTTGACCGGAATCGAACCTGGGACCCTTCAGTCCAGGGTTAGGGCCAGTCAGACCCTCTCTATTTGCTGTGTGACTTTGGACAAATGACTTCACTCCCCTGAGGCTCAAGTTTCCTCATTCTCAGCAATAACACATCCCAGCCCGGATGGTTGCCCGGACGAAGTGGAACCATCCACAGAACCACTCAGCGTGCACTTGGCACTGGGGCTAAGTGTTTGGTGCTATCGTTTTATAAAGAAGGTGCTTACATTTCAAAACGCTCCTGGGCATTATTCACTTAACTCCTATTTATTTAGCAACTCGTAAAGGTCAGGCACGCCAGGGTGAATGAGCTGGGAGTGTTCTCTGCCCACATGAGAGTTTATTTATTTATTATTATTTTTTAAAAAAAATATATTTTATTGATTTTTTACAGAGAGGAAGGGAGAGAGATAGAGAGTTAGAAACATCGATGAGAGAGAAACATGGATCAGCTGCCTCCTGCACACCTCCTGCTGGGGATGTGCCCG